GGGCCCAAATGGGGCTCCCATTTACTGAAATACCATGAATTTCGATCCCCCATTCCAAACGTGAGTACCCCAGGCCATTTCCGTTACAATATTAATAATTTTCGGAAAAAACCGGGAGAAATTTATTTACGTTTATGTCCCGAATTCGACGCTGAAAAAAGTTTTTGTCAAATTCCTACAAAGCTATGGATTTGTCTTGCATTTTTTCGCGTAAAAGTCCTCCAGATCTTCAGTGTTTTTAAGTAAAACTCTACAAAATAGAGCGTTTTTGAGTAGAAAGCAAAGCAAAAAAATTCAGTCAGAACTTAATTCCTTAATTGTCTCGTTTTTTGCCGGTATTTCACATAGGAAATTACTGTTTTTTCGTTAAGGCGTTGCGACCTGAAAAAGCGCTTCCTTTTGTCAAATACCTTGAATTTTCACATTCACCAAGGGAATTGGAAAATAATATTATTAATCATGTGGAAGGTTTATTGCTCTTTACAGTAATTTTGGACTTCTGGACTGGATAAAATAGGTCGAGCTTCAAGAGAGCGGGCTCTTCTTGGAATGGGCAGAGACTTTGAATAAAACCTTCGGGGGTCGGCCTTTTCCTTCGAAATCGAATGCTTGCTTGATGCGGAATTTCTACATTCAAGATCATAAGTCATTAACTGCTAGTAGCCAAACACGTTAATCATACTTGGAAGACTTCAGGATAAGTTCCACGCTCTTCCTAATGCCGCCTTTCCTTGATAGGCCGCTCTTGTTGGAATCGGAGGAATCGACGCGGTTGATATCGACGCAGCGCGAAATTTTGTGGTCCACTAATGGCAAAGTCACCTGCTTCCCTTTTCCAGAGCTCGTGGCAGCGGAATAGTAGGGGATTTCGATAGAGGGTGTTGCACCCTTGGAGTGATAGCGACGTTTTGCCTCATCCGGCACGAGCTCTCGCTTACTGATTTTTGGCTTCACCTAAATTGAAACAAGTTAAATCTCCAAAACATCAACATGATCCGTTTAGAGCTGACTGCTGTAACATCGCCATGGCGTCTCTTTCCATACTTTGGAATTTTATAGGACGCGAATCTTGGCTGGCCTTCCATCGTGGGCTCAAACTTGTACCTGTAAAGCATCACGATTTTCCGATAGATGACAAAGCGCAAATTTACTCAAAAGACCTTTTCCACTTACCGGACACTGTCAAAATAGGGGTTCTTTAGGAGTCTACGCACATTGATGCGTTTATCGGGATCGTACTCGATCATCAGCTCCAAAACGCCCCTGGTTTGGGGAGTCGCTTGCGGCAAAAGCGGCTCCAAGCCAGTTCCCCTAATTTTGGGGAAAATGACGCAATTCCGGGACCAGGAATTCAGTTTGTTAATAAACTGTATGCTTGGGGAACCGAGAACGTTGTGAATTTTGTAGAGTTGGTCCACTTCGCTACTGCCAGGGAAAAGCGGCATCAATCTGCAGGCAGGCGAAAGCATGAAAATAACGGTCTTCAATGCTAGACGGGTTGAACTAACGTCAACATTTCGAAAAAAACGCATCCGGCCGCCCATACGTCCATTTTAGGGCCGTAGTGGCCATTGGAGAGGAGGCACTCCGGAGAGCGATACCAGCGGGTTGAGATGTACTCAGTGTACGGGGGGACGCTGTAGAAGCCCCTCATTGCCCCCAAGTCCGCCAGCTTGATAATTTCACACTGAAATTTATCCTTGCAATCAATCTCTCCATGTAGTACACAGGGAGCCAACTGACCCTTCTTAGTCTCTGCAAGCTCGTGCCGTCTATGGAGGGAAACTTGATCAGGATATTTTCCGGCTTAACATCCCGATGGAACATCCCGTTTCTGTGAAGATGCTCCAGCCCCCTCAGCACCTGGTAGAGATATTCTTTGGCCCTCTGCTCCGTTAGGCCCCTAAGACAATATTTGGATTTAAGATCAATAAACGTTGATATCCCATTGCCCACTAATTACCTAGACTGGTTCTCCGACTTCTTGCAATTCTCCAGATAATCATGCAAGCTCATGTCCATGAGCTCTAACATAAAGGTTACCTGACCTGAAAACGAGTAACTGCCTTTGGGTAAGACGCGTCTGGAACAACTGCACACTTACTAGTGGTACTCGAAGATGTTGAGGATGTTGGAGTGAAACGGCACTTTCCGGACAGCCACCACTTCTGCACACTTTACAACCGACGATTCCCTGAAACAAGAAAATTGTGATTGAGTGCAAACTCACAACTAGAAACAGACGATTTGTAGAATCTTTTCAGCCGTTTGGCCGCATACAGCTCGCCAGTGTCTTTGTTCAGACATTTGAGAACTTCGGAAAAGGCTCCTTCGCCAATTTTCTTCAGCACTTTGTATTCTGCAACAAACGCGCCACATTAGCGAAATCGCCCAGATAATCTGTTAATGGTTGTTTGTACTTGCGTGAAAAGAATCGCACTGATTGTTGTACATTTTCTAACCAGTGTGATCGGGAAATTTGGAAAATCTATACTATATTTTAAAAAATAGCTTCAATGTCCATTTGACTTGACTGGTAGCTGTCAATATCCACAAATTTATTAGGTATTTAATTAATTACAGTGCAAAGGTAATTTTCTCATCTCTCATCCGTTTGGCTGTCGCGTCCGACCACTGATTCCTCGAATTTGATCATGTACGTCGTTCCTTTATGCCAATGAGCCGTGACTTTAGCCGGCTGGAAATGACCAAAATTGTCCAAAACAGCCAACCATGTAGACAAAACATACAAATCCTGTCCCCACTAAAACAGCCTCGATAATCCCCGCAATAAACACGGCGCAATTCAGGCTGCTTTTGTCCCTGGGAATGGATATGAACCGATTCACAACTGGCTCTTTCTCCATCAAATAGTAGGTGTTTTCATCGTCGTTCGAGTGTTCCAACTTATCCGCTTCCTTACCAAACAGCGCCTAGTGGGGCCCCAGTTATCAACCCCTGAATTTCCTTTCGCCAACACTCACCTTCCAGAATGTGGACTTTACGTACAAGAGTATGTTCAGCAGTTTGGTTTCGCGTTTTCCATTGCGCTCTCGCACAAAGTACAAGTCTATCAGTTTAACACCCACCCTGCGCCCCAGCTCGTGCAATCTGCAACCGCTCAACTAGCCCCAATTATCTCTATCACCGTTGCAGGGCTTACCGATTTTGCAGATCAGGAAGAGTGGTGGATTTGTTCTGACAGTATTGAACCACTTCGGAGAAGAGCAGGGCAAAACAACTGAGCGAGACCTCGCCCTTGCCCTTGCTAAGGGGCTTGTCTAGGATACTGAGCCGGTTTCGGCCCCCTAAACTCATTTTAATGCTCAATTTTTACGGGGGGTTGTTTTTGTTTACAACTACTGACGATTTGTGTGGGAAGTGGGGTTAGAGCGCACTGCACAAGGATGAGTTGCTGCTGGACCAGGTTGTCATGATCTGCAATTCTTCGTCGTCTAGTGGATATCTGCAAAACCACTCTCAAGCATTTTGCTACACGCTTTCGAAATATTGCTGAGAATGTCCAAGTGTTTAGCTGTGTTCAAATTCAACCTTCTACTTTAAATAAGCACGAAATTATAGACAAAAAACACTTTTTTAATCTAAAAAAAATTATTTGGTTTTTGTAAACCTTAATAGTTTTCGGGAAAAAATGGGATACATTTATTTTCGTTTTCGTCCTGAATTCGACTTCAAAAAGGTTTTGTAAAATTCCTACAAAGTTATAAATACATCTTGTAATTTTTCGCGTAAAATACATCCAGATCGTCAGGATTTTTTCAAACCGAAACCCACACACCAAGGTTGCAGCAGGAGAACGAAGAGCTGCGGAAGGATATTCGCAGGTTAGAGGCCAATCTCAGGCAACTAACTGTGATGCTGGCCGGCAGACCCGAGCCCCCAAAACCGGCTAAGAAACCTGACAGTTTTAGTGCGGCTGTCAAGGGGGCACCGAAACCCTCGGCGCCCCGCAAGACAGCGGCACCCAAAACAGTACAGGTTCCCCCGCAGGTTGCCCCCAAAAAGCCAGCACCTCACAGTCCCCCACCAGCCACCGCAGGCCCGTCCAGCGCCTTTCCTGCTCAACAGAGCAGAAAGAGGCGCAGAGACGAAAGCGAGGGTGAGGAGGATACCATCATAATAGAGGTAACGGGAATGGAGACCGACTCCCCATTCCCTGAAAGGGTGGAAAAAATTCCACCCATCAACATACTGGGACAAAGAAGCTGGAGACAGTTGAACGGTGCCTTCACTTCAGAAGGCATCGAAGTGACCAGGGCCGCAACCAACAGAAATGGGGTTGCGGTTACTACTAAAACGGCGGCCGATTTTAGAAAAGCCACCAGCCTCCTGCAAAAGCTCCAGCGGCCGTACTATACGTACACGCTGCCGGGGGATAAAAAGCTCCACGTGGTGATTAGGGGTTTGCCACAGGACATCGAAGCAAGTGAGACCGAGAAGGAGCTGAAGGAGTTGGGCATCAAGGACGCGGAAGCGTTCCAGATGG